GGCCAACTGGGAGCAGGCCGTTAAGTTGATTCGTAATAAACCCGTGATGATAAATCAGATACAATGAATATATGAAGTTCATATATTTTGAACTGCGGTATTAAATACGTATGATGCACGATCCTTCGCAGTAGATAGCGCTATTTATGCAATAGCGAAAATCAGACCTGAAAAAAATCAGGCCTGTACGGGATTCGAACCACTGACCTCTGCGATACTAGTGCAGCGCTCTACCAATTGAGCTAACAAGCCAACTGGGAGCAGGCCGTTAAGTTGATTCGTAATAAACCCGTGATGATAAATCAGATACAATGAATATATGAAGTTCATATATTTTGAACTGCGGTATTAAATACGTATGATGCACGATCCTTCGCAGTAGATAGCGCTATTTATGCAATAGCGAAAATCAGACCTGAAAAAAATCAGGCCTGTACGGGATTCGAACCACTGACCTCTGCGATACTAGTGCAGCGCTCTACCAATTGAGCTAACAAGCCAACTGGGAGCAGGCCGTTAAGTTGATTCGTAATAAACCCGTGATGATAAATCAGATACAATGAATATATGAAGTTCATATATTTTGAACTGCGGTATTAAATACGTATGATGCACGATCCTTCGCAGTAGATAGCGCTATTTATGCAATAGCGAAAATCAGACCTGAAAAAAATCAGGCCTGTACGGGATTCGAACCACTGACCTCTGCGATACTAGTGCAGCGCTCTACCAATTGAGCTAACAAGCCAACTGGGAGCAGGCCGTTAAGTTGATTCGTAATAAACCCGTGATGATAAATCAGATACAATGAATATATGAAGTTCATATATTTTGAACTGCGGTATTAAATACGTATGATGCACGATCCTTCGCAGTAGATAGCGCTATTTATGCAATAGCGAAAATCAGACCTGAAAAAAATCAGGCCTGTACGGGATTCGAACCACTGACCTCTGCGATACTAGTGCAGCGCTCTACCAATTGAGCTAACAAGCCAACTGGGAGCAGGCCGTTAAGTTGATTCGTAATAAACCCGTGATGATAAATCAGATACAATGAATATATGAAGTTCATATATTTTGAACTGCGGTATTAAATACGTATGATGCACGATCCTTCGCAGTAGATAGCGCTATTTATGCAATAGCGAAAATCAGACCTGAAAAAAATCAGGCCTGTACGGGATTCGAACCACTGACCTCTGCGATACTAGTGCAGCGCTCTACCAATTGAGCTAACAAGCCAACTGGGAGCAGGCCGTTAAGTTGATTCGTAATAAACCCGTGATGATAAATCAGATACAATGAATATATGAAGTTCATATATTTTGAACTGCGGTATTAAATACGTATGATGCACGATCCTTCGCAGTAGATAGCGCTATTTATGCAATAGCGAAAATCAGACCTGAAAAAAATCAGGCCTGTACGGGATTCGAACCACTGACCTCTGCGATACTAGTGCAGCGCTCTACCAATTGAGCTAACAAGCCAACTGGGAG